ACCAAGTTTGAACATGAGGACTTACTGCTGAATTTCCACATTCACAGCCAGATCTGTCTGGACATCTGGTATGTGATAACTGGACTTTCCCTTGCCCTTGGAACTGAAGCTTTGCAGAAGAGCTCTGCATATATTCTGTCAGGGCACTGTCACTGGTGAAGTTCTAATTCCAATTCAGGGAAGGAAGGACAACACAAAATCAGCAAATCACTTCTCTCAACAGCAAATCACCATCAAAGTAGTTTAATTAAAACTCACTGTGCCCTTATCCTCCCCTCAAAACATTAACTGCATTGCAGCCAAGGACCAACGTCCTTGCTAGTTTTCAGTGATCTCACCATCAATATTTGGAGCAGGTTCCAGAAGTCTCTCTCTTTCTCTCTTTTACACACACACAAACACACCTCACAAATTGGTTAGTCACTCCTGTCCTAGGAAATATACAGGGTTGTGTAATTCTAGAAAGGCAGTTGCCTACTATTAAAGCAGCTTGGTGCCCTCTGGATGTATAGGAAATCAATTCCCATAACAGCCAGCCAGCACAACCATAGGATGATGGAAAGTATAAAGTTGGGAAGATTATATTATTCTTTCATACTGGCAATAACTTTCCACATTTTCTATCAGAAGCTTTTTCCCATTCTTCTTGCTACTTGAGCTTCTTTAGGCAAAGGTAACAAAAATTTAATCTAAGAGTTTATAACCTCTTAGATTATTTTTTTAATGTGTCTCCCATGCTGCTCCTGTCTGTTTCTTAAGCCAACTTCTGCAATGGGGCTGGGCTGGTGCTCAGTCTGGACTATGTCACAGCAAGACCTGATTGATTGGCTATTCCCCTGACTCTTGCCTTTCCCATTCCTGCAAGAAAGGCATGCCTCACTGGCTGGCCTCACCTTTTCCTTTTAGGGGTTGTTCCCCCCTCTCTAGTTCCTATGCTTTTCCTTGCTTTCCCAGGTGTCTGCATACACGGGTGCCTTCACTACCACCACCCTTCCCAGACTATCTCTTTTGACCCTAATACAGACCCCTTTCTTTTCTTTTTTCCCCTTTTGGTAATATCACAGCTCTGATGCTAGAACAACACAAGCAATAGGGAATAGGCTGTCCTTCCAATTCTACCTACCTCTATAGGTCCATAGAAACTGTAGCAAGGAAGAACTGGGGGTTCACTGAAGCAAAGTAGCAATGATCTTGGGTTTCAACATCAAGATGTTTTAAAAATAAAGGAAAAGGAAAGGAAGCTCTGCAGTATTGTGGGCAGGAGGTGGGAGACCAAGGGGAGCGTGCCTCACCCAGACTGTGCAGAAATGGGAAAGAGTCCTCACCACCAGGTGTAAAGATTGAATGGAGGTGAGCTTCTAGGATTGAGGAAGGTTAATTGATTTAACAGACCATTGTTGGATCAAATGCAAGTTTATAGAAAACTGGCAACTGCAACTCAGCAGAGAACAGAGAAGCCCTGCATGTAATGGCTGCACAAGGCAGTAACCAGCTGTTGGAAGGAAGGGGGCATGTCAGCACTGCAGCCAATCAGAGGTAGGTCTGCAATTAGTATGAAACAAAGCGCTGGAGACCACTCAGTTGAAGGGCTTACGGTGGTCTGGTTAAAAACAGCAGTTTTTGAATCAAAGCTGGAAACACAAGTGTGAGGTGCATTTGTAACATCATCATCCATTCTTGCACTCAGGAAGTAGTGAGTGGCCCATCCTGGCAATGGGCAAAACAGAAAATGCAGACCTGCCCTGCCTCAATACATATTTTACTCCTTAAATGAGTCTGTAAACATTTTAGCAATTATTTTTTGCTAAATTTTTGCTAAATTTTAGCAATCTTAGCAATAATATCTTGGAAGATATTATTATTTATGTATGTGTTTGGTTTTATTGTATTTTTATACTGTTTTTATTGTATTTTAACTAATATTTATTGTTGTTTTATTACTTTCTCATGAGATGGGCGGTGTCTAAATTCAAAATACAAATAAATAAATAAATATTTTAGAACAGATTTATTTAATCATTTATTAAGCAAATTTATATAGCCATCCATCTCACTGAAGCAACTCTGGGCAGCGTACAACAACCAGATAAAAACAAATATAAAAACAACAGAAAAATAATAATAAAAAACCACATTAATCAATACTATACAAAAACCAAAAATACAAATCATAGGGGAAGGGAGAATAAAAATGGCCCCCTCAGCAATGGAGCCATCTAAGCAGGTCTCTGGTTCTCTGGGAGCCCCAGGCCTGATCACATAACCAAGTCCTGAGGGCTTTTCAGAATAGCAAAAAGGATGGCGCTAACCTAATCTCAGGAGGAAGGATGATGTGACCTTTCTTCCTAAGCCTGTGCACTGGGCCAATATCTTTATCTTTATATTGTGAAATACAAATCTTCTGAGTGTCTTCCAGGGCTATGAACTGTGCAATGCCCAACCAGATTCTTTAGATATGATATCCCTTCTTTCTTTTTTTTATTGCACACATGCATACACATTGTGTTTTTCTCCTCATCTGGAATGAATGCCATTTGCTCTAAGGAAATGTGTATGGGTGGTGAATTCCCAAAATGAATTGACTGAGATAATAAAATGGGGTATTTAAATATTTGAAAGTAATGCAATTTATTTTCCATGGCAATTCAACAGAAATTTGGAAAAAATTGATATTACTAGCTATGAACTTTTCTGGAGAAAAGGGGACACAATGGAAGGTGATGATTTTACCTGCCCCATGATTGAAATGCTCTTAAGTTGTATCATCTGCTCAGAATTGATGTTCACTCGGAAGGATGTTTCAGGCTGAAAAATAACATCATCGTACTGGCACGGAACCCGTTCTTCATCCACGAGGAAAATGTATTTGCCCAGATCTAAGTTTTCCAAAGAGGTTGCAGCATGCCATAATGTAGGATCATACCACTCATAATTCTCTGCACTATTAAATGAGACTTCTGAAGCTAATAATGAAAATGACAAGAGAGAGTAAGAGCCATAATATGAAATCCATTTGGGTTCACTGATTTTTTAAATTGCTCATAAATCTGCAGAATGAATGCTGAAATTATTATTTTTTTTAAATCTATGGGCATGTAGAATATACAGGTAGTCCTCGCTTAATGACCGTTTGTTTAAGGATGGTTCAAAGTTACGATGGCCTCATAAAAAGTCCTTTATGTCCTGTACTCACACTTATGACTGTCACAAACTGCCACCCCACCACCCCAGTCACATGATTGTGATTTGCAATCTTTTTTATGATGGTTGTTAAGCGAATCACCATGGTTGTTAAGCGAATCACATAGTCATTAAGTGAATCATGTGATTAAGCAAATTCTGGCAAAAAAGTCCATTGGGGAAACTGAATGTGCTTAATGACCATGTGAATTGCTTAATGACCCTGTGATTTGTTTAATGACCATCATAAAAAAGGTCATAAAATCAGGTCTGGTCATGTGGTGACTCACTTAATGACCGCCCAACTTAACGACCAATTTTCTGCTCCCTATTGTGGTCGTTAAGCAAGGACTATCTGTATTGTCCAATCTACATGGCAATTTGATTCATAAGATTTTTCTTCATAATGAAGGATAATTGATAGTAATCTAGGAATCATTCTACTGATATTGGCATTGTGTATGACAAATACTGGATTTCAAATGCCAAAGTTTATTATTAATCTGAGATTCTAATAATCTAGTTCAGTCCTGTCAAATTTGGTACTCTTCAGATATGTTGACCATACAATTTCCAACATTCCTAGCAAGCATAGCCATTGGCCATGGCAGCTTGGAATTCTGGGAATTGTAGAACAAACACATCTGGATGTCATCAAGATGAGGAGACCTCTCTTATATATTGTAACTATAACATACAGTATAGCACATTTTATCCATGCATTCCAAAAATTCCATTGACCTTTTTCCTCTCATAGAAATCTATTACTACATCTGTTGTTGATTAGCCTAATAATAAAATCAAGGAAAAATCTTGGAATTCAATGCATCTAATCTCTTTGAATCTACAGTACTTCTCATGCAGTCAACAGACATTCCATAGATGTGTCACTGGACGTATTAGAATTTGTGTTTCATCTGTGGTGAAAACTTTATTTTTCAGAATGGATGTATTTGAAGTTGTTCAGCTACTGCATAACTTTATGGCACAGGAACCATTGCTGAGACTATTTGAGAAGCAGTAGCAGTCTGGCACTCTCCCTCATACCTAGACATTGTTTCTTCTTCCTTTCTGCCACCAGCTGCAACTGCTAAATTAACCTGTCAATGGTACATCCCATGCAGGGTTTTGTCTTGCCATGGCACTTCCTCTGCTTGAACCTCCTCTCATGTCTGCTGCTGCCTCAGGCATTCTCTCAGCAGCTCATCTTTGGCTGCCATCTTACTGATGTACTTCTGGATGTTCTGGGTTTCATCGAGGACAGTGGCTTTAACACTCACCAGACGCCACCAACCCTCTTTCCAGGTGGTGTACAGTCTCTGAGTGTTGGACTTGGGGTGGAAACCTCCATACATTGTGAGGAGCATCCGGGTCTTCACATCGACAGCCTCCATGTCCACTATACTGGCAGGGTATCTGATGACTGGCAGGGTGTATATGATGATGCCATCTTGTTCTTCCCATTAAGCTGGCTCTTCAGGACCTGTCTTAATCGTTGGTGATACTTGAATGTTGCTATCTTCCTTGCCTCCTCCTCATGGTTCCCGTGTGACTGTGGGATACCAAGGTACCTGTAGCTGGTTTGTATGTCTGCTATGTGGCCCGCTGGTAGTTCCACCCCATCAGCCTTAACTACATTCCCTTTCTTTACTACCATCCAGCCATACTTCTCTGGTCCAAATGACATCCCAATGTCCTCACTGTAGATCCGTGTCAGGTGGATCAGTAAATCGATGTCTCGTTCACTCTTAGCATACAGTTTGATGTCATCCACGTAGAGGAGGTGGCTGATGGTAGTTCCACTCTTGAACTTGTATCCAATCCTTGTGATTATCTGGCTGAGGGTTTTCAAGCCTATGCAGAACAGCAGTGGGGACAGTGCACTACCTTGCTATATGCTGCACTTGATGGCCACCTGTGCGAGCTGTCTTAAGTTGACTTCTAGTGTTGTCTTCCACAGTCCCATTGAGTTCTTGAGGAAGGTCCTTAGTGTTGACTTTGTATAGTGCCAGGCACTCACAGATCCATGTGTGTGGCATTGAGTCATAGGC